AAAGCTGTGGCCTCTTTAAGCTTGTCAGATAGCTTGCTTCCATACAAGAAATTGTCAACCTTGGTTTCATTTAATACTGTTTTTGTTTTCTTAGACAGACCAGGCTCTATAAAGGATTTTCTGGTTAAGTTTTGTTTATGCGTAAGTATGGCCAGAATTTTTCCTGCGCCAGCCAAGGGACTTAAAACGTTAGCTAAATCTAACCTTTCTTCTGGAGGATCATAAATCTGTGTAATAATCATTCTGATCATGGTCATAGCAGTACTTACTAATTTTTGAATTTAACACATATGTTTGTCTCTAGTCATTGCGTAGGATTTCATTGTTGCAACAATCTGTGGGTTCAGGTTGGAAGGTATTAGCTTTGGAAGACATTTATATTTCTCAAGGAGAGAATCTTTAATAATCAAGAACATCTTTCTTCAACCCATTTTTAGAAAAATATTCTCATCTTTTGAGAAGGCCAGCTTCTAACTTGATTTGAACAGCTGATGAGGCCGTAGGATCATCTTCTAGCTAGTAATCATAATTTTTAGTATCAGTAGGTTTCTGCATTTACTTAATTTCACGTAATATTTAAGTGAAATTTCGTGCGAACACTAAGCAAAAGATCAACTATGTTTTGCAAGTACGATGACCAGTATTTTGTCTTCTGTCTTACCACTCGTGAAAGCACGGACAGTATAACAGTTCTCGTCATTGACGAGCGCAGACCATTGGTCGGTAATACAGTTTTTAACTTACAGGTTTATTCTAGTCAGTGTCCTTCGAGACTTCCTCGATGTCATCATTGTGCCTCTTACTGTAAGACACGATAATAATATTGGTTTCCTCGAGGTTCCTCTTCTATGCCTTGATCGTTTGATCCTTTGCGAGAGACATGGCCGGCTTGCTAGCCGCCATGTTGCCGTCTCTTTTGTGAAGGTTTTCCTTATCTTTTTCTAGTTACCCTTCCTAGAGGGTTTTGACTTTTTTTTCGAAATAGTCAACATCTCGTCTCGGTCCCGTGAGCGATCACGACTCCTTTTCCTTGATTTCTTAAACATATTTCACGTACTAACTGTCTTAAAACCTCGTCCGATTTCACGCACGTGTGTACCGTCTCGTGAACACGAGAAAAAAAGTGAATGGGCGCCGTGAGCGGTGGGATCGTAAGTACGTTAGTAGGTTTTCGAGTTGAACTCTAAAAACATGCTGCCACGGTGGGCAAGGGGGATACTACAATACACACATTGTATAAGAGCGAGGACGTAATATAATTTGATAATTTTAATAGAATCAGAAAATAATTAAAAATAAATTAATCAAAATCAATCATCATCTACGTTTTCCACTTCCATAATTGACAAAGTAATAAATAAGTATTAATAAATGACATATTAATAACATGGTTTAGAGTAGTTTTATTTACAAAAAGAGTAATATACATGTTAGACTGAAAAAGTTGCATAATAACTACGTACGTATACATATATAACCGCGGTGTCTTACCCGACTATGCAGTTAACATAGCATTTACAAATACGAGGGTGGTCCGATAAGTACTTAGCCTCACCGCCCGATGGCTCCACTCTCGCAAAAGAAATATTCTATCACGTAGTACAACCTTCTCGATGGTTACTGTCAAGATTTCAGCCGGATCGGAGTTGTAGTTTATTTTTTAGAGCGTGTGAAAGTAAGTGTGTCCGTTGATTTTTGAAAAATGGAAAAAGAGCAGTATCGGTCGGTGATTCGATTCTTGTTTTTGGAAGGGAAATCGCGCAGCGAAATCAAAACGCGCTTGGAAGCTGTGTACGGTGACTCTTCTCCTTCGATGGCGACCGTCAAAAATTGGTTTAACGAGTTTCAACGTGATCGCACGTCGATTTTTGAAGAGCCACGTCCAGGTGCTCCTAAAACGGCTACCACGGAGGATAACGTGACAAAAATTTACGATCTCATATTGGCAGATCGACGATTGAAGGTGCGCGAGATAGCTAAGATCGTAGGCATCTCAAAAGACCGCGAGGGTCATGTCCTGCATGAAATTTTGGGCACGAGAAAGCTGTCGGCGCGATGGGTGCCGTCTTTGCTCACTCCGGACAACAAGCGCAACCGTGAGACAACTTCAGAGCAATGTCTGACACTGTTTAAGCGCAATCCGAAGGAGTTTCTGCGTCGTTTCGTGACAGTCGACGAAACATGGATCCACTGATATACACCAGAGACCAAGGAACAGTCGAAACAGTGGACTTTACCCGGCGAAAGTGCTCCGAAGAAGGCGAAGACTGCCCCATCGGCCGGAAAGGTGATGGCCATCGTTTTCTGGGATTCACAAGGTATCATCTACATCGACTACCTAGAGAGGGGCAAAGCGGTCACAGGTCTGTACTATGCCGAATTATTGGGCCGATTCGACGTCGAATTGCAGAAAAAACGGACCCATTTGGCGAAGAATAAAGTGCTCTTCCACTATGACAACGCACCGGCTCACACCTCCGCCGTGGCCATGGCCAAATTGGTCGAATTAGGCTACGAACTGCTGCCCCATCCACCGTATTCTTCAGATTTAGCCCCATGCGACTTCTTTTTATTTTCAAACTTGAAAAAGTCACTCGCCGGGCAGAAATTTGAGTCGAATGAGGAGGTAATCGCTGCCACGGAAGCCTACTTTTCAGACCTCGAGGAAACGTATTTTTCAGACGGGTTAAAGAAGTTGGAGCATCGCTAGGCCAAGTGTATCGAACTAAAAGGAGGCTATGTTGAAAAATAAAACGCCACTTTTCCAAAATTTTCGTTTTCCTTTGTAGGCTAAGTACTTATCGGACCACCCTCGTACTATACTATTTTTTTTCGAACAGAAAAGGGAGCAAGGCCTTAGAGTGCCACCATACTGGTGGACCGATGTTGAAGTGGCTGCTGTCATTTTAGATTTCGCGTTCCAGTTCCACAGTGTTAAGTAAGCACCGCCATTTTAATGATTTTAAAGATCAACTATCCAAAGATTTTATTCATGAATAAAGCAGAAATGAAAGCTATTATATAGCTATTATGGATATAGTTACTTATTTGAAAATGAAGAAAAGAGTCCCGATGATTTTTCACAAATACAAAATTTAATGCAAAATGTTAGTGAACTGTCAATAGATAGAGAATACGAAAATACAAGAAACTATTTAACTATAGGTCGTGAAAGATATGCAGAATTGAATGAAAAGCAAAAAGAAATAGTTAATAATATTTTAAATAATGTTTTAAATGTTGCTTTATAGATGGTCCTGGCGGACCAGGTAAAACATTCTTGTATGAAACACTTTGGTATCTTTTAAAAGGAAATGGTAAAAAATATGTACTATGGCTTTTACTGGGATAGCTACTACACTGTTACTTCAAGGCAACACAATACAAAATATTTAAATTACCATTACGTTTATTTTCGCATTCGTCATCAAATATAAAGTAGAATCACGTGAAGCTTCAAATTTCAGAGAAATAGATGTATTTATATTTGACTGTAGTTGTCCTGTATTTATATAGGACAAAGCTCCCATGGCTTCAAGATACGTATATATATATATATATATATATATATATATATATATATATATATATATATATATATATATATATATATTCGGTGGAAAAACAATTATTTTAGGAGGAGATTTTAGGCAATTACTTTCTGTTAAAGTAAATGGCACACACAGTGAAATAGTTGATTTGTCTATTAATCGTTTTTCATATTAGCGAAATATTTTTAAATATTCATTAACTCAAAATATGGGAGTTTTACCTCAAGAAATAGAATTTACAAAATTTGTATTAAATGTTGGTGATGGAATATTGAATGATATTCATGATCATTTGAGTTTGGATAATATTTCTAAAAATGTATTGCAATAACTAACAAAGTTGACGATATAGTTGCTGATATTTATGGAGATATATTTCATAGTAAAGAATATAAACGAACAATTAATTCTTCAATATTATCTACATGAAATGTAGACTGTTGTAACATTTGTTGGATAAAACGATGGAAAAAATTTATACAAGTATTGATAGTACTGAGAATTGCGATAACGAAGGATTTAATGATATTTTATTATCAGAATATTTAAATATTTTGAATCCTCAATCTCTTCCACCGTATAAATTGAACTAAGAAAATATTCCACTGTAATGATTATTCAAAATCTAAGTATTATTTAAGGTTTATGTAATGGCACACGTTTATTGGTTTTAGAACTTGCTAATAATATAGTAAAATGTGAAATATTAACTGGTGATAAAAAAGGTGTCACAGTATTTATTAATCGTATAACTTTATATTTATCGGAAACTGATTATCCGTTTCTTTTTAGAAGACAATTCCCTATTAAATTAGCAATTGCGATAATAATTAATAAAGTTCGGAGACAAGCTTTTGATAAAATTAGAATAGATTTAAGAAATGATGTTTTTAGTCACGGACATTTGTATGTTACTTTATCGCGTGTATGGTTTAGGATTCTTTAAAATTAAATGTATATTAACTGTTCTAGTAAAAACAGCATAAAAAATTATCTATATAAAGAGTTATATTTATAAGTTTTTTCATTTATATTAAAATTTTTACGATATAAAATTTATTATTTTTAGTATTTATTATTATATGATATATTACGCTATATATCGATAATATATCATAAAATATAAAACAATCACTGTTAAAAAATGCATTTTAAGTATTTTATAGATTATGATATAGTTTAAATATTACGTTAATTGACCAAGTCTACAAAGACCATGCGCGCGGTACGCGCGCTTAATAAACTTCTAGCATATACGATAAAGTATGAACAACTTATCATTTATCAAGCAATATGGTTTCAATGTTCACCACTAACAAGCGTCGTGGTGCTAGTATCGCTATCTTAATTCATACTTTCGCATGCGCAAATGCGCGCGCTCCGGTTCTATCTTTCTTTCTCATTTCTCTTTCATCTTTCTCTTTCTCGTTATGTTCGTTGTGAGCTTTCAGCACTCCTAGCTGACAGTATTCCCTTTTGGGTGTGGCCTGTTAGCTATTCCCGATTGCTACCCGTTGAAGTGATTAGTGATTATATGCTGGTGTAGTTTTGATTAGTATTTTAACTGCTATATAAAGAAAAAAATTATTTTGCTTTATTCTTAAACATATGCATTCCAGTGTATGTGCATTATGTTGTGCAACTGTGAAAAACGTATTTGTGTATATAATTTTTAACAAATTCATTGCATTTATACGTATATATAAAAAGGATATAGATCTGAAGGCTTGGGTACCCGCTATCGAGAATTAAATAACAATTATTCCAAGAGTTACCTTTTTGATAGAATTGTGGTATACAATATCGTTTTATTTATATTTAAAGAAACAAAGGCTATCTTTATACTTACATCTACATCGAAGTCCTAGTGTGAAGCCTGAATTAGAAAAACCATATATAGGAGTTTCAAATGAGTAAATAATTTGTCGTTAATGGCGAGCGAGATAGTTTGGCGACTTTTCCGAAGAATACCAAGAATATTTTGACACCAGTTGCCTTTGCCGTCTCTGCCGGTTCCTATTGTAGTTACTACCGTCGTGTTACAATTCGTAAGTTTTTATCTTAATATAATACAATTGTATAAATATAATACAATTAATAAACTTTTATTGATCTACCGATGTCAAAACATACTTGGTGTTTACATGTCATGTTATAGAACTTAGTGTAAAACATAACTCTATAACAATATATTTTTAATGATTTCTGACAGATTGTTACTTGACTTTTGTTACTATTGTAAGATAGGGTGAGTGCTCCTATTACTAGGAGTTATCCACTGCGTGTTACATTTTTTTCAATAAAATTGAATAAATATTATTAATATAAGCAATATAATAAATTCAGTACCAATCTAATGAACTTGTTAGACATATTAAAACTTTTTTGTTGTATAAAAATATCAAACTACTTTTTGTATGACAATATCATAAAATAGGCCAGATATTGGTACATTAACTTTTTTCTAAGGTCAATTATCAATCATGAAACAAACACAAGTAAAGGAACCTTTGTTTTTCTCATTCAGTTGTATAATTTTTATAAATTGTACTATCGTAGACACTATTTGATTATTACTTTTATTGATTATAGCCTTTATAAACTGTGTATTCTTAAATTGTTAATAATTGATTTTAAGCTGTCAGTAATGGGGCCTGTAGAAAATTTTATAAAATAAAGAATTTTTGAATGAACTTACATAGAGATAGTTTTGAAATAGATACAGTAGTAAATTATAGTGTTATGTTATTTTATTTTATATGTGTATATATATATATATATATATATTATATATATATATATATATATATATATATATATATATACACATAAATTTTAAAATAAAGTAGGATATTTTTACCTCAACATCTGGCAATGGTATGGTATTCTCTTTGCATACCAATAACAAATGACACTAGATTACTAAAGATTTCAAGGGCCTTTTTTCTAAAAATTTTTCATTTATCTAACAGGCAAATTTTTTAAGACCTTTGAGTTTGATGAGAAATATTTTGTGATTTATAATTTAAGACATTAAATAAAATTTAAATAATTGTTTAAAAATCTGCTTTATTAAGATAAGTTGATATCATTAATGTTTTCTTTAAAAAAAGTATTTACTATGCTTCCCATAGAATAAGATTAATTTTTCCTAAAAACGAAACTTATTTAGAAATGTCAAATTATTTCAGAGATATAAAAAAATAATCAAGTTGACTACAGAATTCATTCTTTTTAAAATTAGCAAAAAATAATTGTAACTCTTGTAAGTCAATTTATTATTTAGTTTTATAATTTCATTTTTATTGTAATTTATTAGATCTTTTAACATTCATGAAATTACAAATATAACTTTTTGTGGTATTACGTAATCAATAAAGTAAATTTATAGATAAAAATGAAACATATCAATAAAAGTTTTAAAACTTAATTTTTATTTTTAACACATTCACTGTCTAATAAAATAATCAATTTTTGCTGTGGGATCAGTCATGTAGTTTTGATAAATTCATGCGTTATTGCTTTGAATTTATTCATAAATTATGTATTATGTTTTTAACATTTAAGTTACTTGGAATAGGCCTAGTCAATATTAGGTCTTTCATACTGTGTGTTTTGACATGAAGGTCACATTCTTGATCTAATCCTAATATAACGTAATCTAACAATGGAAGCACATTTAGAATAAAAATAATTATTTCAATCTTCAAATATACAAAACACTATATATTTTCAAATAGGGTAGTAAAATAAAGTTTTATGTACGGTTCATTTCAGATGTATTCATTAACTAAAAAAAAGTTGATTGCTTCAATTTTTTTCTAAGATTGAAATATTATTTTATATCAAAATTCATGCAGCAAGTGGCTGTTGTTCCAAATCTGTTTTTCAATTCTGTTTTCCAAATCTAGCATTGTCTAGCATACTTCAATGAATGATGAATTTTCATTATATTATTTTGAAGAGCTTACAGTATTAAGAATATAATATTTATGCACAAACATCCATGCAGTGCAACAATATCGGTTCTTGATTAACAATAGATTATAATTATATGATTAATCTATTCTATCGCTTAACTAGGAAGGCTAAATTACATTATATGGATAATTGTGAAAAATCATCTTCGATTTTAAAAGACGTTCTATTAATTCTACCTATTACAGTTTTTGTAGAATAGATTGAACTTTCTTTTTTGATGTCGTCTTATCAGAAATTCAGGAAGGACTAGAGAGGATAATTGGTTATTACAGCTGTTTTCTTTTTACAGCTGATACAAGTTATTATGTTACTTGTAAACTACTAGTAGTGGTAGATTCGGCTCACAATTTTCAGTACTTTTATGTAATTGGTTTTTCTTCATTAGAAATTTTTATTCAAATGACTATTATCTTTAAAGAATTTAGATAGTCAGTAGCAGGATGGGTACGAGTGTCCAGCCGATAGAAAAGTAGGAAAATGCCGGAAAAGAACGGGAATTTTTTCTTAGCCGAAAAGAGCGTGGAATATGCGGGATTTTTATTTGATAGCGGGAGTTTTCATGGAATCCGTATAAATATTCGATGTTTTGAACCATTTCTACGTTACGACGAAGTTCCATTACGTATTATATCGATATTAATAAGAATTCGTAACTTGATCCTATATACGGTGCCGGCCTCATATTTGGCAACACGCGCTGCACAGTACTTGCAAGTTTCAACAAGTAAATAAGATAGATCTACACTCGCGATGCTGACATCTTGTCGACGACTGTTAACTCAGAGCCGCAGTACAAAAGTTGTATTCAATCTAAATAGCTCGATAGTGTTGTTTGTATCCTGGACACGAATCATAAAAAAAACTGACAGTTCCGTTATTCAACTTGTTTTACGATCAACTATTTTAACGCTGTTTACTTGATATAAGTAAGACCAATTTGTTATAATCTATAATGTTAAATATTTGTAATTCATACCATGATTGTACAGAACGAATAAATTAACATTGTACTATTTTTCATTTGACGCTAAATATATTATTTTGGAAATCGATTTACAAAATTTTTACTACTCAAATAACTGGCACGTTTTATGAAGCGAATATCTGCATGGAAAAGGAATGAGCAGGCTATGGTAAAGAAGTTGAGCAGTTCTCTCTCCCGATAGACGGTCAAAATGTCAGCTCGCAGCAGACTTCGCTCAAATACAGCATTTCAACTTCTCCCTTAAATTATTTAAATATATTTTTCTATATATTTGACAGTTATGCAGATTACTGCAAAATTGTTGTATAAAAGTTAAAAAAATACTTATAAACAATTATTTCAATAACATTTTTTTGCTTTAAGGTAAATGTATTAGAAATTCTGATTATCTAAGGAAATAAGTGTTATGTTCTCTCGACAAGAGGAGTGAAGTTGATGCTGCGTGAGCGCCAGAAGGAGGGGTGGGTCGCAAAGATTCGCACGACTACGGCCGACAACGCTCGGCTTACGTGGATTCGTTCGGCGAGAAACGAGGAAGGTTGGATGATGAAGAAATGTCTAGCAGGCCGTCCTGTAGACGTGAGCACTCCGGAAATGATGAATAAAATCTACGACATGGTGTTGAGTAACCAAAGAAAAAAATTACACAAAATAGTTGAGGCCATAGGGAATTCAAATGGAATTCATTTTGATTGTAGATAAGAAATTGCACATGAAAAAAATTGGGCAAGATGGGTGCTGCGAATGGTGGTCGCTGAGGCCCTCTTGGCTCACATCCACCGTAATTCGGACGACTTTCTGCGTTGATTCATATGACTGTGAAAACTAGCTCCAAAGAAGGCGAAGACAGTGAAATCGGACGGCAAGGTTATAGCCACTGTTTTTTGGTATGCGCGTGAAATTATTTTCGTTGACTACTTAGAAAAAGGACAAATAATCATCGAGGGTATTATGCGATGTTGTTGGACCGGTTAAGCGAAAAAATAAAGGAAAAACGTCCTCATTTGAACAAAAAAAAAATCTGTTTCATTAACCCTTAACTGCTATGTGGGGTAGATTTACCCCAGACAATTTTTAACAATAAATAAAATTTATTTTTTTTTTTTCGAGAATTTTTTTCAATGTGTGTAACATTAAAAATTGTTAACCTGAATATTTTTTTTGTAGTAAAAGGTTTGAAATATACTAGAAAAAATTTTCATAGAAAAATATCTAAAATTCTCTGATTTATTCGATGTTTTTCGGGCTGGGGTAAATTTACCCCACCGAGCAGTTACGTGGCCAAAATGAGATGTGCAAGTTAAGGGTTTAGATAATGCACGAGTGCACACTTGTTTAGTTTCAATGGCTAAAATTAAGGAATTGAAGTCCAAATTAGTTGATCATTCACTGTATTCACCAGATTTGGCCCCTAGTGAGTTTTTTTTATTCCCAAACCTATAAAAGTGACTTACTGGAGAACAATTCATCTCGAACAAGGTCATAACACAAACAAATGGCTATTTTGAGGAACTTCGAAAATTATTTTTTTCTGATGGCTTCAAAAAACTGGAAGGGCACCTAGAAAAATGTATCAAGCTAAAAGGAGATTATGTTGAAAAATAACAAAAAATCTATAAAAAAAATGTTTTTCTATCTCTTTTTAAGGACTTATTGACCCACCGTCGTAAAGTAGGATACACGATCGTATACAGTATTTTATTTCAGAGAAGCGTTGCGAGATTTATTGAAGGAATGCTCGCATATAGTTGTTGGTTTCGATGAATGTCTAAACAAAGTTTCAAAACGCAACAGATGGATATATTAGTTAAATAATAGGATAAACAAGGAAAAATATCTGATACAACAACGTTTGGAGTAGATGATTTCAATCAAATTGTTCAAGTGTCAATGGACGGCCTAAATATAAATTTTAGTGTGCCCAAGAGTCTAAAACTTGAGCTATCAGAATAGCATTCTTTAATCTTTAGAGGACGGGCATTTGGAAATTTCAACTGCTCAGTATTTTCTATAGAAAACGCATAATATGTGTGTCTAATATCGGAGAATACTCATATGTGTAATGGCCATCGGTAGTCGAGC